TGAAAGGGGTCTATTTTTCTTCTGTTAAATGAAAAGGAACAGAAGAAAAATGGATGAAACGAACAAAAACGAATGGAAATGGATGAAACTAATATAATCGGACAACAACGGATGTAAGCTGATGAAAAACTGATGTGAATTGATCCGTTTTTTTCTTGGAAAAAATGTGACTGAACTGATGAAAAAAAGAATTGGCGTGCTGCAATATAATGAATGTTTGCTTTTGGGTTCAAAGTGATTCTAAAGTTCATAGGTTTTTTTTTACCGTTTTGCATTACCTGCATTAAAGCGGAGTTCACTCACCTGTCAAGAAATAAAAGTCAGCAGATACAAAAACTGTAGCTGCTGACTTTTAAAAAAACAGCCACTTACCTGTCCCTCGGTCCCGTGGTGTGTCCCCCGCAGCTCTTTTCACCGGCCGTCCTGTATTCCAGGAGGTCGGCATCTTCAGTGTGGGCACCCGGCTGTGACAGCTTGCGGCTTCACAGCCGGGTGCCCACTGCGCATTCGTGATTAGTGCTGTGCTTCATGAATGGTCCTGTAGTCTTCTGGGACCTGTCACGTGTCCCAAAAGACTACAGGGAGGGAGGGCACCTTCTGCTTCCGATCACCTAGGCGATCAGACTGGAAGTGGCAGCGGGTACCTGTCAAATTCGGGTACCTGCTCCCCCCCAAAGGTGCCAATCCTTAATGGGGAGCGGTGGAGCAGTCCTTAAAGCGGAACTTCCCCTTTTGGGTGGAGCTCCGCTTTAATGTAGAATAACACGTTTCACTGTTTGTTCCCCAGCCCCCCTAAATACTTACCTGAGTCCTATCCCAATCCAGCGCTGTGCCCATCGCTCTCCCCGGTCTCACAGGACAGATAGAGAGCAGCGGGAGCCGGTGTCTGGAAAGTCTGGAAAGCCGCACTGAAACACACGTCCACTTTATTATTCTTCATAGGAACACCATACAGTACACGGGGGGGGATATTCATGTGTTTCGCGCTAACCTCAACACATATTCATATTATGATGATGTTATAATTAGCGTGAAACACGTGAACCCCCCCTCCCCCCGGTATACTGAATAACAAAGTAGACGTGTGTCTCAGTGCGGCTATCCAGACTTTCCTTTTATCATCAGCACAGTGTGTGAGCTGGGCCGGCACACATGTTGAAGGAGCATGGGGTGTTGGATCAGTGAGCCTACCTAGAGCAGGGGGGGGGGGGCGGGCTGAAGCTGTGTTGTGTGTGTCTATGGAAGCACACAGCCCAACTTGGGACTTAACCCGAACATTTGCCCCCCTAGCAAGCTGTTTTCTATGGTGGTGCACACAGAAGAGGAAGAGTGCTGGAGGGGGGGACCCCAGAGAAGAAGCCTAGAGTGCTGGTGGGGGACCCCAGAAGAGGAAGAGCCTAGAGCGCTGGCAGGGGGGGACCCCAGAGGAGGAGGAGCCTAGAATGCTGGTGTGGGACCCCAGAAGAGAAGGAGCCTAGAGAGCTGGGGTGGGACCCCAGAGGAGGAGGAGCCTAGAATACTGGTGGGGGACCGCAGAAGAGGAAGAACTTAAAGCACTGTTGGGGGACCCCAGAAGAAGAAGAGCCTAGAGTGCTGGTGGGGGACCCCAGAAGAAGAAGAGCCTAGAACGATGGCAGGGGGGACCCCAGAGAAGGAGGAGCCTAGAATGCTGGTGGGGGACCCCAGAAGAGAAGGAGCCTAGAGAGCTGGGGTGGGACCCCAGAGGAGGAGGAGCCTAGAATACTGGTGGGGGGACCGCAGAAGAGGAAGAACTTAAAGCACTGTTGGGGGACCCCAGAAGAAGAAGAGCCTAGAGCGCTGGAAGGGGGGACCCTAGAGAAGGAGAAGCCTAGAGTGATGGTGGGGGACCCCAGAAGACAAACAGCCTAGACCGCTGGTGGGGGAGACCCCCAGAAGAAGAGCCTAGAGCGATGGCAGGGGGGACCCCAGAAAAGGAGGAGCCTAGAATGCTGGTGTGGACCCCAAAAGTGGAGGAGCCTAGCGTGCTGGTGGAGAACCCCAGAAAAGGAAGAGCCTAGAGTGCTGGTGGGGGACCCCAGTAGAAGAGGAGCCTAGAGCACTGGTGGGGGGGACCCCAGAGGAGAAAGTGCCTAGAATGCTGGTGGGGGGACCCCGGAAAAAGGAAGAGCCTAGAGTGCTGGCGGGGGGACCCCAGAAGTCGAGGAGCCTAGAGTGCTGGTGGGGGACCCTAGAAGAAGAGGAGCCTAGAGTGCTGGAGAGGGGAATTGGTGGGGGACCCCAGAAGTGGAGAAACCTAGAGTGCTAGTGGGGGTGACCCAAGAGAAGGAGTAGCCTAGAGTTCTGGCAAGGAACCAGGAAAAGAAGGAGCCTAGCCTAGAGTGCTGGTGGGGGACCCCAGAAGAGGAGGATCAGGGCCGCTCTATGCAGTACCCTTATAGAGCAGGGAAGTAGGACATGTTTATTATTTTAGAATAAAAATTAGACTTTATAACATTCTGATGAACAGCATATGAAGCATCTGACTGGAAATGATGAAAACATTATTTGTCTCCTGTCTAAATTGTCCCTAGTATGTGTATGTATGAATGTGAGTTAGGGACCTTAGATTGTACGCCCCTTGAGGTTAGGGACTGATGTGAATGTACAATATATATGTAAAGTGCTGCATAAATTGACGGCGCTCTATAAGTACCTGAAATAAATACAAAACGTGATACAAAGTAATGATTGGATAATGAAGGAAAAAAGTGTGTATGCATAGGTGTATGTATAGAGGTGTGTGTATATAGAGGTATATATAGAGGTGTATATATAGAGGTGTGTATATAGAGGTGTGTATATAGGAGGTGTGTATATAGGAGGTGTGTATATAGAGGTGTATATATAGGAGGTGTGTATATAGGAGGGTGTATATAGGAGGTGTATATATAGAGGTGTGTATATAGAGTGTGTATATATAGAGTGTATATAGATAAGGTGTGTGTATATAAGAGGTGTGTATATAGAGGTGTGTATATATAGATATAGAGGTGTATATAGGGGTGTGTATATATAGAGTGTGTATATATAGAGTGTGTATATAGAGGTGTGTATTTAAGAGGTGTGTATATATAGAGGTGTGTGGTATATAGAGGTGTGTATATGAATAATATAAATGTTGAGGTGTGTATATATAGAGGTGTGTGTATATAGAGGTGTGTATATAGAGGTGTGTATAGAGGTGTGTGTATAGTAGAGGTGTGTATAATAGAGGTGTGTATATAGAGGTGTGTGTATATAGAGAGTGTGTATATTTAGAGGTGTGTATATAGAGGTGTGTATATATAGAGGTGTGTATATATAGAGGTGTGTATATAGAGGTGTGTATATAGAGGTGTGTATATAGAGGGTGTATATAGAGGTGTGTATATATAGAGGTGTGTATATAGAGGTGTGTGTATATAGAGGTGTGTATATAAGGTTGTATATAGAGGTGTGTATATAGAGGTGTGTATATAGAGTGTGTAGAGGTGTATTGAGGTGTGTATATATAGAGGTGTGTATATAGAGGTGTGTATATAGAGGTGTATATAGAGTGTATATAGAGGTGTGTATATATAGAGGTGTGTATATAGAGGTGTGTATATATAGAGGTGTGTATATAGAGGTGTGTTATAGAGGTGTATGTATATAGAGGTGTGTATAGAGGTGTGTATATAGAGGTGTGTATATATAGAGGTGTATATATAGAGGTGTATATATAGAGGTGTGTATTATAGAGGTGTGTATATAGAGGTGTATATAGAGGTGTGTATATAGAGGTGTAATATATAGAGGGTGTATATATAGAGGTGTAAAGGTGTATATAGAGGTGTGTATATATAGAGGTGTGTAATATATAGAGGTGTGTATATATATAGAGGTGTGTATATATAGAGGTGTGTATATATAGAGGTGTGTATATATAGAGGTGTATATATATATGAGGTGTATATATAGAGGTGTGTATATATAGAGGTGTGTATATATATGGGGACCCTTGATATATAGAGGTGTATATATAGAGGTGTGTATATGGTATAGAGGTGTGTATATATAGAGGTGTATATATATAGATGTGTATATATAGAGGTGTATATATATAGGTGTGTATATATAGAGGTGTGTATATATAGAGGTGTATATAGAGGTGTGTATATTATATAGGTGTGTATATATTAGAGGTGTATATATAGGTGTGTATATTGTATTTGTATATAGGGTGTATAATATAGAGGTGTGTATATATAGGTGTTGTATTATAGAGGTGTGTATAGTAGAGGTGTGTATATAGAGGTGTGTATATATAGAGGTGTGTATATTTATAGAGGTGTTATAGAGGTGTGTATATATAGAGGTAGAGGTTTATATAGAGTTGTGTATATAGAGGTGTGTAATAGAGGTGTGCGTTGCGTATTTATGAGGTTATATATAGAGGTGTGTATATAGGGTGTGTATATAGAGGTGTGTTTATAGAGGTGTGTATAGAGGTGTGTATATATGAGATATTGTATATGTGTATGTATATTATATATAGGTGTGTATATTTAGAGGTGTGTATATAGAGGTGTATATATATAGAGGTGTGTATACAGAGGTGTGGTATATATAGTAGTGGTATATATAGAGGTGTGTATATAGAGTTGTATGATATATAGAGGTGTGTATTTAGGTGTATATATATAGAGGTGTGTATATAGAGGTGTATATATATAGAGGTGTGTATATAGGAGGTATATATATAGGTGTGTAATGGTTTATAGAGTATATATAGATTTATTACACGGGCACATCCAAAATACAGGAGGGGCGGGACCTGCGCGGTGGGCGGGGCGGTACGGTTACAGTCAACATATACGAAAGAGGCGGGACCTGCATGGTAGGTCAATGGAGTTGAAGATTTCTCAGGCGCATGCTCAGTGGAGCAGTGATCGGAGCCCTCAGGCACTAGGCCGGAGAAGGCGAAGTGAAGCTCCTCCCCGTGTCCTATAGCCAGGTTTCAGGGGCTGTTCCGGGACAAGGTGGCCATAGTGACCTGTGGGGGCACCGGCATCGGGAAGGCCATCACCGCGGAGTTGCTGGGACTGGGTATGTGCAGGGAGGGGGAGGAGTCTTCTCTCAGAAGTCGGCTGATGAGGGGGAATGCTGGGAACTGTAGTTCTGCAGGACATGAGCCGATATAGGTCACGTGACTCAATATCTGGGTGACAGGTCGTGCTGGGACTTGTAGTTTTTCAGGGAAATAAGCAGGTACAGGTCATGTGACTTGGGGGTCTGGGTGTCAGCATGGTGGGACTTGTAGTTCTACAGGGCATGCAGGTACCACATGATGCTGTGACTTGTAGTTCTCCGAGATATAACCTGGTACAGGTCATGCCACTCATTTCTGTGCAACGGGGCATGCTGGACTTGTAGTTCTGATAGAAATGAGCAAGATATAGGTCATGTGACTCTGGATGGGGCAGGACAGGACATGCTGGGACTTGTAGTTCTCTGGGACATGAGCCGGTACAGGTCATGTGACTCTGGATGGGGTGGGCATGCTGGAACTTGTAGTTCTCCAAGACATGAGTGGGTACAGGTCATGTGACTCTAGATGTGGCGGGGCAGGGCATGCTGGGACTTGTAGTTCTCTGGGACATGAGTTGGTACAGGTCATGTGACTAGATGGGGCGGGGCAGGACATGCTGGGACTTGTAGTTCTCCGGGACATGAGCCGGTACAGGCCATGTGACTCTGGATGGGGCGGGGCAGGAAATGCTGGGACTTGTAGTTTCTCCAGGACATGTGTGGGTACAGGTTCTGTGACTCTGGATGTGGTGGGGCATGCTGGGACTTTTACTTCTCGAGGACATGAGCGGGTACAGGTCATGTGAACAGCAGCCTTGAACCCTAGGAGATTACAATCTAATATCTGTGCACCGTTTATAACCCATCAGTTTTTTTTTGCCATCTGTGACCAATTGGGGAGATTTCCCTTCACTTCCTGTCCCATAGCAAAAACAGGAAGTGAGAGGAAATCCCAGTAAATTAAGAGAATTCCTTGGACCCCTCCCCCCCAGGTCACCAGAACTAGTGTCCCCGTTGGAAGATTTTCCCCTCTATTACTTTTCTGGGGACAAGCCAGAATTTGGGTTTTTACTTTCACTTCAAATGATGAAACTGAAATCTGATTCTATTACTGCCTTGCTACCGGCATTCATAGAGGTGATTTCCGTCTTGCGCAGTGTAAGAATTTTCGCCATTTCCCGTTCACAGGCTGCAATGTGGTTATCGCTTCCCGGAAACTGGACCGGCTGAAAGACGGCGCAAAGGATCTGGTCTCCAAAATCTGCCCGGCGAACCCGTCCGCAGTGACTGCGCTTCAGTGTAACATCCGCAGAGAGGAAGAGGTGCGGGAAATTTTCTGAGATTTGTTTTGCCGCCACTGCAGCGTCTTGCCAGTGCATTTTAAAGCCTTAATTCCGTGGATCGTGCCGCTTTAACCCCTCGCCCTCCAGAGGATTTACCCCTCTTTATGACCAGGCTATTTTCTGCGTTACGGCATTGCGTTGTTTTAACTGACAATTGCTTGGTCATGCAACGCTGCACCCAAATGAAATTTAAGTCCTTTTTTTTTTTTCTAGCTTTTTTTGGTGGTATTTGATCGCCTCTGCGTTTTTTAAATTTTTTGCTCTATAAACAAGAAAAAAAAATGACAATTTTGAGAAAAAAATATTTTTGACGTTTTGCTATAAAACATGTCCAGTAAAAAAATCAAATTTCATCATAAATGTCAGCCAAAATGTATTCTGCTCCGTGTCTTTGCTAAAAAAAAATTCCAATAATTGTATATTAATTGGTTTATGTGAAGGTTATAGCGTTTACAAATGGCGGTATAGATAATGGGTTTTTATTTGTTTATTTTTTTATGCTAGTAATGGCGGTGATCGGCGACTTATAGCGGGACTGCGGCGGGTATTCTGACACTGAGGGGGAACTAACTGCCACTGACATCCCAATGACACCAATACAGTGACTCCCCGGACTTCTTTTATAAATAAGAATTTGCATTGCAGTGCACCCAGTGAAAGTGCATCTGGATTCTGTGGAAACGGCGCAAAAAATGTTATTAGGCTATTTCCTGTGCTGGGCAAATGTTCACTGATCTAACCACTTGCCGCCCAACGACATACCTACCCATATGTCATTGGGGTTTAGTGTTTATACCAGGGCCATGGCTGCAGCAGTATCAATGACACCAGTATCAATCTTTTCAGTTGATGAATAAAGTAAAAGTGATCCGAGCAGCTAAGTAGCTCATGGATCACTTTTACAGACGATGGAAGGGTGTCCTGCCGCCTTCCCATGCTCTCCTGTCCCACAGATTTTGGTTTGATCTGATGCCTTGAAAGGCAGAGGAGAGATCTGGGGTCTAATAGACCCCAGATTGCTCAGTAAGGAGGACCTGTCACTGCTCCAGCTATGAAGTGAAGCTTGATGAAGAAGGGTCTCCCTTCGAAACGCGTCAGCCTCACTTTGAGGGTCTACCCTCGGGACATGACTCACACTGGGTCTACACTCCCCAGTTCCTTTGAGTATCTGTAATGCTTGTTTTATGTCCTTGTTTGTGAGTATATATATTTTATTTATTAAAATCACTGAGGTAATGCGCAAGGTAGGTACGCTCTTTTTGCTTCAGTTCACAGTATCAGTTGGGCTTCCCCAGTCTTGTTGTAGAGCTTCACATCCTTCCATGCACTGGTGGAATTGTTTTGAGGTTCCTCGATTCCTCCACCTCTGGTTTGAGTCCTCGGGCGCAGGAGGTGTTCTCTTTATAACTGCTCCAGCTATCACAAAGGATGTTGTTCATTCCTTGTGATCGCCGAAAGAAAAAAAAATTAAAGAGACAGTGTAAAAAATAAATAAAATGATAAAAAAAAAAAGTAAAGCACCCCTGTCCCCCACATGGTCGCATGCAAAGGTAAATGCATGTACCGTATTTTTCGCTCCATAAGACGCACCTAGGTTTTAGAGGCAGAAAACAGGAAAAAAAATATTCTGAACCAATGGACTGCAGACACAGTACAGGAGGTGACCAGAGACTGCGGACACAGTACAGGAGGTGACCAGAGACTGCGGACACAGTACAGGAGGTGACCAGAGACTGCGGACACAGTACAGGAGGTGACCAGAGACTGCGGACACAGTACAGGAGTTGACCAGAGACTGCGGACACAGTACAGGAGGTGACCAGAGACTGCGGACACAGTACAGGAGGTGACCAGAGACTGCGGACACAGTACAGGAGATGACCAGAGACTAGGGACAGTACAGGAGATGACCAGAGACTGCGGACACAGTACAGGGGATGACCAGAGACTGCGGACACAGTACAGGGGATGACCAGAGACTGCGGACACAGTACAGGAGATGACCAGAGACTGCGGACACAGTACAGGAGATGACCAGAGACTGCGGACACAGTACAGGAGATGACCAGAGACTGCAGACACAGTACAGGGGATGACCAGAGACTGCGGACACAGTACAGGGGATGACCAGAGACTGCGGACACAGTACAGGGGATGACCAGAGACTGCGGACACAGTACAGGGGATGACCAGAGACTGCGGACACAGTACAGGGGATGACCAGAGACTGCGGACACAGTACAGGGGATGACCAGAGACTGCGGACACAGTACAGGGGATGACCAGAGACTGCGGACACAGTACAGGGGATGACCAGAGACTGCGGACACAGTACAGGAGATGACTGCTGACCTTTGGGGAGTGGGGGAGCTGGTACCTGAATTTGACAGGTACTCGCTCTTACTTCCGAGGAGTTGTTCTTTGGTTAGTGTCCGCTCTGCAGTGGGACCTTACCTGTTCCTCTATCCAGTGGCGCTCTGTCTTCCCGGCTTCTGTAGTGTGGGCGCTCGGCTTGACAGCTGGGTGCCCAGTGCGCATGAACGAGAAGCGCTGCTCTTTGTGATTGGTCCGGCGGCTTCTGGGACCTGTCATGTGTCCCAGGTGCCGCCTTAGCATTCACAAAGCGCATCGCTTCTTGCGCATGCGCACTGGGCACCCAGCTGTCAAGCCGAGCGCCCACACTACAGAAGCCGGGAAGACAGCGCTCCACTGGATAGAGGAACAGGTAAGGTCCCGCTGCAGAGCTGAGCGGCCGGCCCTGTATTCTGACAAGGCGGCGGCGGTGAAAATACCGGACCGGCCGTTCCATATTCGCGCCATAAGACGCACTGACATTTTCCCCCCTTTTTTGGGGGAAAAAAGTGCGTCTTATGGAGCAAAAGATACGGTAAATGATGTTCGCACCACACCTGCGATGTATTCCAGCGAATGTTACAGCAAAAGCAATAATTCTAGCATCAGACCTCCTGTATAACTCTGAACTGGTAACCTGTAAAGGCTTTTAAAGCGTCACCTATGGAGATTTTTATGTACCATAGTTTGTCACCATTCCACGAGCATGCACAATTTTAAAGCGCAACACGTTGGGTATCTATTTACTCGACATAACATCATCTTTTATATTTTACCAAACAATTGGTATTGCGTTTTTTTTACGTGCATTAAAATGCATTAAAGTGTATTTTTTTTTAAATTGCACATGAGAAACCGCTACACAAATACATAAAAATATGTAACACCCACCATTTTATTCTCAAGGGACCCTGCTTAAAATATATATTCTGTTTGGGGGTCCTAAGTACATTTCTAGCAAAAAAAAAAAACCCTGATTTTTACATGCATGTCAGAATTGGCCTGGGGGTCAAGGGGTTAACTCTTGGATAAAGTGTCCAGTGTACGTTTTTGTATTTCCCTCTAACAATGTCGGCTCATTATTTCCCTCCTTGTTCCTGAGTGAAGGTGGAGTCTATGGTTGAAGCTACTTTGAAGCAATACGGTCGGATTGACTTCTTGGTGAACAACGGCGGTGGACAGTTCCCGTCTCCCAGTGAAGCAATAAGTTCCAAAGGATGGAATGCTGTGATAGAAACCAATCTGACCGGCACCTTCTACTGCTGCAAAGCCGGTATGTGGGGAGCAGAGAGCTAAGCGGTGTGCTGGGGGGTAATTACTAGTACATGGAAATTGCCCTCATAAAATCGCCCTCTGGCATCCCACAGGAGAACACCATTCATCTCGTGTAGTGGAGCAAATGTAAATTTTACACTTTTAAAGTGCAGTTTAGAACATTCTGCCCATTATAGTCTTCCTTAGAGCCTTGGAGTGCAGTCTGCAGTAGGAAGAATGCTGTGTGTTCCCCAATTTCTGATTGCCCATTGCTACTGTCAGTCATAAGCCAGGGGTGGGAGACATGCAGTAGGAGGGGTTTGTGTGTTCACTTCAAGATGTCCAAATCTATCATAAAAACTAAAACTCAAGATGTGCCACCACCCTCCAACCATCCACCTTCATAAATGCTCCTCTTCTTCTCCATTCCCGTTTGCTACCCCAAAAAGTTGTAGATGGCATTGTCAGCAATCATACCTTCTATGTGTGACGGCACTGAGGCTTAGTAATTGGCCGCTCACACCTCAAGTACTGCATTGTGGGGATACAGGTCGGGCTTGTCAGGTGTCTCTCCATACCTGGAAGTCGTGGATTTTGCAGTGTGGGGAGTTAGTGATTTTAGGTTCTGTATGGTGTCTAATGCTAGGTAGAGATTTGGTTTTGGGTTATAATTTTTATATCTATAATACTATAAACATGGTATGTAGTCATGGACTTTGTGTGGACATATATGAAGAAGCTGCATATTGTAAAATACAACTTTATTATATTACATTGAATAACATTTCCAAAATATAAAAAAAATTAAAAAAAAAAAAAAAAAAAAAAAAAAAAAACACTCTCCACATAAATGTTCACAACATGCATAAGTTACAAATGCATATCACATGTAGACACGTTTTGAAAATCCTTCAGGAACACGTGAGAGAACCTATAGAGTATAAATACATCCAATAAGTTACAGAGTTCTCAAATACAGGGTTACATTTTATTGTATAGATAAAAATGTAAACATCATAAAATGTAACCCTGTATTTGAAAATGTTGTAACTCAGTGGATGTACTTTGTAGAGTCTATCACATGTGCTCCTGAAGAAGGATTTGAAACGCGTCAAGTCTATATGTGATTTGTACTTGGAATCTATGCATGTCGTGAACTTATGTGGAGAGTATTTTTTTAATATTCTGTAAATGTTTCTTTTAATGGAATATAATAAAGTTGTATTTTACGATACTCCTCCCATTTATATATGTCTCTCTCCCTCTCTTTTCCCCTTTCTCTCCCTCTCTTTTCCCCTTCTCTCCCTCTCTTTTCCCCCTTCTCTCCCTCTCTCTTTTCCCTTCTCTCCTCTCTTCTTCCCCTTCTCTCCCTCTCTTTTCCCCTTCTCTCCCTCTCTTTTTCCCCTTCTCTCCCTCTCTTTTTCCCCTTCTCTCCCTCTCTTTTCCCCTTCTCTCCCTCTCTTTTCCCCTTCTCCCCCCTCTCTTCACCCCTTCTCCCCCCTCTCCTTCACCCCCCCTTCTCTTCTCCCCTCTCCCCCTCTACCTCTTTCCTTCTCCCTCTCCCCTTCTCTAATAAAGTTTCTATGAGATTTTGGTGATCGAGTTTACATCTACTTTAATTATTCCCAACTTTTGTCACTGTGCAGTGTACAATGCCTGGATGAGGGACCACGGCGGAGCCATTGTGAATATTGTGGCAGACATGTGGAAGGGTTTTCCTGGAATGTCGTAAGTGTAAATCTTTCCAAAAGCTTCTCTGAATATTATATATTATCCTATGAATCTGTATACCGCCTCTCCGACATTCTGTCACACTTTTGCTTGCTTACTTTGATTTATTATATCAGGTTTTCAAGTGATATTAAAAGGCAGATTCCTTTTCCAAATTCTTGGGTCCCCGTCTGGGGCACCAGGCTCCTAACTCCCACAAGCTGCTCGCTATAGGGTCACCCGAGCTGCTGCCGCTCGTGTCTATTCACACACGGAGCGGGGCTCGGACCCGCCCCCGATCTCTCCTCATTGGCTCACTGGCTGTCATTTCCAGTGGCTCCTGCTGCTGTCTCAGCCAATGAGGAGGAAGAGTCCCTAGAGAGCTGAGGTTCTTGTGCACATTGCTGGATCAAGACCAGGCTCAGGTGAGTATTGGGGGGGCAGAAGCTTTTTTTTTTCAAATCCTTGAGCCTTCACAACCACTTAAAGCCTGACCGAATTTTTAAAAGAAAATAAAAAGGTGTGCAAAGTTCTATCGTTTTTGTTTCCTTTAACCTCTTCAGTCCCAGCACTGTTTATATAAACTGCTCTTAATACCAGGACCATTTAGAAATAATGCTGCTATCCATGGCTTTTAAACACTCCCAACTGCTATAACAGCCTCTTGTCAAACAAACTGTTGGCTTTCAGATGGAAGTGACTTGGAGGGCTGTTAAGCCACCCGATCACTTCTACAACTACTGGAACATGACGGCGCCCCCCCCCTCCCATCCTCTACTATTCAATAATTTGCACCTGTCGTAATCTATTTGCTACCATATAGGGGGCTATTGGTCCCCCATTTTACAGCAATAAAGTTACTGAAAAAAAAGCAGAAAAAGTTTTAAAAAATGTAAAATGACTAAAAAGAAAAACAACATAAAGCCTCTAAGTACACGCATACATAAACACACGTATGACACCGGAGATTGCACTGCACGTTATATATCTCCCTGCATGCCAGAGTTACTGCAGATATTCTAGGGCACATATGTTAGAAACAAGGCCTCTGGGCCATATCCAGTCCATTTCATATGACCCTCGCACCTCTCCTGCAGCTGCGACACCCTCCTCCTTTCTACCTCCAGCTTGTCTCAGCAGTTGAGAGGCGTACAAAACTTCTCCGCCAGATCCTGCGCTTTTCTGTCTCTGACCCCGTAAGATACAGTCCGGTTAGACTCAATCCATGGAGTAATTCCTGGGGTAAAGGCCTTAAAGGTATTCCTCGCCACCAAATCTCAGCTCATTCATGCATTCATTGAAAGACGATAAGTATTGGTAGTTTGAAAATGATTCCAACAAGGCCAAGTCCTCCTGAATCTTTCAACAAGCCCAAGTCCTCCTGAAAAAAAAAAATATTATATATATATGTATTTTTTGGTGGGGGGGCAGGGATTACTAATACTCAAGCCTAAAATGTGCATTTTAACGTGTGGAAAAAAAAATACAAAATTGGCTGTGGGTCCGAAGTGGGTAAAGAGGAGCCACAGCCTGAGTAGAAAGGTCTGTCCCCTGTCAGCATGCTGCAGACAAAACCCTTACTGTCTATGTGGAAGCAGTGGGCTCCCAGCAGAGATCTAATAACCTCATTCTGAGTCAGAGTTGGAGCTCTTCATGTGGCAAAGCTCATGCTTCTTGCTGGGGAGCGCTAGTTCCGACCTGGCAGAGAGATACTGGACCTCTGCGAAGAGACCACTGCTTTCCCACAGCCTGCAGAATGCTTTTTGGAATGAGGGTGAAATATTTCTGTAATTTTGTATTTAAATTTCTGTGCAGTTCATGAAGTCTGGTCTTCATGTCATGATGTCTCTTAAATTGTAAGCTCCAAGGAGCAGATATAGGAGCCGATATAGCAACTGCCACAACTACATGTCATCATATAGACGACACCTGCAGTTTGGCAGTTAACAGTGTCATGCTTCATGTCGACCTCCTGCTCTCTAGCTCCCTTGTCTCCTCGTCCCATGCTCGTCTCCAGGACTTCTTCAGAGTCTCCCCCATCCTCTGGAACTCTCTACCCCAATTTATCAGACTATCCGCCTACTCTGCTCACTTTTAGGCGATCTCTGAAAACCAATCTCTTCAGGGAAGCCTATCCTGCCATCCGCTAATAATGGAATCTTCTACTCTTCCTACCAGTCCTTCCCCCCAGTTACTACCTTTTGTACCACCAGCCCCTCCCTCTTAGATTGTAAGCTCCCAGGATCAGGGCCCTCTTATCCCTCTTGTATTGAACTGTATTGTCTCCCCGTTATATTGTAAAGCGCTGAGCAAACTGTAGGTGCTATATAAATCCTGTATAATAATAATAATAATGTTCTCTTCCCCAGGCACACCGGAGCTGCGAGGGCCGCCGTGGACAATCTCACCAAAAGCCTGGCCATAGAATGGGCTCACAATGGCGTCAGGATAAATTCGGTGGCTCCTGTAGGTGACCAACACTGTCCTTCCTCCAGCTGTGTCATCTATCATCTGCAGCTAATGATAAAGCATTTGTGTGTATAGCACAGAGCAGGAGTGTTCAGTCTGGGGATTCAGTGAAATTTTATCATTCATGTTAACAGAGAAATTTTTGATTGACATGAACATGTATGAGGGATATGCAATCTGCTGAGAGTTGCTGGATATGAATTACTTGCATTGCAAATTGGACCAATCGTCATATGCAATGCTTTAAATATTGTGACAAAAATCAGTTCACCTCACATTTTCTCTTTGCGATTCAAAGCCCCGATGTAGGACCTTACTGAGACCCCGAAATGAGGCGGCTATGATTTCATTGTAATCAAATGAATTCAACTTCTGGATTTTTCCTTAACCCCTTTACGTCCCGTTAACCCATATGTGCAGCGACAAGAAGCTGGACTTTAACCTCTTCCATACCGGGCACTTCTACCCCCTTCCTGCCCAGGCCTGCTTTCAGCGCTGTCACACTTTGAATGACAATTGCGCGGTCATACAACATTGTACCCAAACTATAATTTTATATATTTCTTCACACAACTAGAGCTTTCTTTTGCTGGTATTTAATCACCGCCGGGGTTTTTTATTTTTTGCTAAATTAACAAAAAAAAAAGACAGAAAATTTAAAAAAAAAAATGTCCTGTTTCTGTTATAAAAGTTTGAAAATAAATAATTGTTCTTCATAAATTTAGGCTGAGATGTATTCTGCTACATGTCTTTGGTGAAAATAACCCAAATCAGTATTTATTATTTAGTCTGTAGCAAAAGTTATAGAGTTCACAAACTATGGGATATATCTGAATATTGATCAATCCTGAAGTACTGACGGCCAATCTAATTTGTTGAGGCCCAAAAACGTCAGGACGATACAGATATCCCCCAAATGTCAGAACAGTACAGATATCCCCCCAAATGTCAGAACAGTACAGATATCCCCCCAAATGTCAGGACAGTACAGATATCCCCCCCCCCCCCAAATGTCAGGACAGTACAGATATCCCCCCCAAATGGCAGGACAGTACAGATATCCCCCCAAATGTCAGGACAGTACAGATATCCCCCCAAATGTCAGGACAGTACAGATATCCCCCCCCCCCCCCCCAAATGTCAGGACAGTACAGATATCCCCCCCAAATGGCAGGACAGTACAGATATCCCCCAAATGACCCCTTTTTGCAAAGTAGACAGTCCGACGTATTTCATAAGAGGCATGGCGAGTTTTTTTAAGTTGTAATTTTTTTTGTAATTTTTCAGAAAATGAAGAAATTAAAAAAAAACAAAATTCGCAATTTTTTTAAAATTTTTTTTCTTTTTAACATACGGTCCTACGGTCATTAGTGCAGTACAGCGTCATCATATAACTAGTGTGGCGGTGATCATGGACACTGACTGGTGACAATACGAAAAAAATGTTTTTTTTTTATTACATTTTTTCTTTTTTTTTTTTTTTAAAGATTTGTTTTTCTCTCTTTTTTTAACTCCATCCAACGCATACGTGTGGCATATGGGTGTTAACCAGTTGCCACCCGGTCTATGGCCAGATGGCGGCAACTGGTTAACACCCACATGCCACACGTATGCGTTGGATGGAGTTATCTGCAAATTTATAAAAATAGTTTGAATGGGTGGGTGTCAGTCTGGAGGAGTGGGCGTTCCTAGGCAGGCTGTATTTGCATGCAGACCACCCTAGGTAATGTCCACATGTAATGCTGAGCCTCCATGATTGAAAGACTTGTAATCCAATGAATGAAAGAGGTGGGCCAGGGACAGTCAGGCGGGGGAGGAAAGACTTAGATGATGCTGGGTGTCCTCCAGCCAGGAAATTACTTTTAATGCACACTGTCGTTTAGCTTACAGTGTGCAGTGAAATCCATCCATCACTATAATGGACAGTCTTACTGGCCAATAGGATTGTACAGGAGGCAGCAAGGGGCCGGCAAGCTTCGATATTAAAGCGGAGTTCCGCTCAAAAGTGGAAGCTCCCACTCCCACTGCCATATTTGGCACCTTTTTGGGGGGGAGTGGGTACCTGGTTTTGACAGGTAATTGCTCTCACTCCTGACACAGTTCACCAGGGCGAAGTGAGCCAGAAGTTCTTCCCCCTCCTCCCTCCTGCAGTCTCCTGGGGACTTTCACAGTTCCCAGAAGACTGCCGGACCAATTAGGAGGCGCAGCACGACGACTCGCGCATGCGCAGTGGGCACCAAGCTGTGAAACCGCAAACAGTCACAGCCTGGAGCCCACAGTTGTGATGCCGGTGCCATGAAGGAGAGAAGGGATGGTGCGGGTGAGAACATCGCTGGACCCCAGGACAGGTGAGTGTGTGTTTATTAAAAATCAGCTGCTACAGTTTTTGTACCTGATGACTTTTAATAAACACAAAAATGGCAGCAATTCCGCTTTAACGTGATTTCCTGTAGATCAAGTTCACATCTGTCCCAGAAGACTGCCGGACCAATTAGGAGGCACAGCACGACTCGCGCATGCGCAGTGGGCACCAGGCTGTGAAGCCGCAAGCTGTCACAGCCTGGTGCCCACAGTTGAGATGCCGACGCCTTGGATGAGAGAAGGGATGGCATGGGTGAGAACGTCGCTGGACTCCAGGACAGGTAAGTGTGTTTATTAACCTCTTCACGCTGGCCGAACGCGCAAATGTGCGGCCTCCCGGCGTCTGGGCCTAGACGCCGAGCATCCGCACATTTGCGTTCTATTAAAAAAGGACATATGTGCCGAGAACGCACACCCTTCGCGCTCCCAGCACACATGTCTGGTACTCACGGAAAGGTCCTGATCTCCTCTTTCGATCGGAACCTTTCCCAATCATGTGACCACCATGACGGTGACATGACTCTAAATCCTGCCCCGCCTCCCGGCTTCTGGAACTCTTAACCACTTGCCCTCCTGAGGATTTACCCCCCTTAATGACCACGCCTCTTTTTGCTACTCGGCGCTGCACTAATTCAACTGATAATTGCGCGGTCATGCAATGCTGCACCCAAATTAAAATTTACGTCCTTTTTTTCACACAAATAGAGCTTTCTTTCGGTGTAATTTGATCACCTGTGCACTTTTATTTTTCACGCTATAAACAAAAAAAGGCCAAACATTTTGAAGAAAAACAATATTTTTTACTTTCAGCTATAAAAAATATATAGTAAACTCAAAGTTGGGTATAAATTTAGGCCAAAATGTATTCTGCTCCATGTTTTTGGTAAAAAAAAAAATCCCAATAAGTGTATATTGATTGCTTTGTGTGGAAGTTATAGCGTCTACAAACTATGGTATAGATACTGCAATTTACGCCATTTTTCTGCTATACAGCGCTGCGCTAGTTTAACGGACAATTGCGCAGTCATGCAATACGGAAAAAAATAAATGAAATTTACATCCTTTTTTTTTCCCCACAAAATGAGCTTTCTTTCGGTGGTATTTGATCGCCTGTGTGGTTTTTATTTTTTGCGCTATAAAAAAAAAAGACTGACAATTTTGAGGAAAAAAAAAAGCAATATTTTGGACTTTTTGCTATAAAACATGTCCAGTAAAAAAAAATGCAAAAATCAAATTTAGTCATAAATTTCTGCCAAAATGCATTCTGCGACATGTCTTTGCTAAAAAAAAAACCCAATACGTGTAAATTAATTGGTTTACGTGAAAGTTAAAGCGTTTAAAAATGGCGGGAAAGATACTGGGATTTTTAAGGTTTTTTTTATACTAATAATGGCGGCGATCAGCGAATTATGGCGGGACTGCGGCGGACATTCTGACATTGGGGGGTACTGACTTGGGGTCACTGACATCCCCAAAAACACTAATACAGTGATCAGTGCAAAAAAAAAAAACTAATGGCAATGGGGAGGAAGGGGTTAACTTTATTTTGCAGGGAAGGGTTATAGGAGTGAGGGGGAGTGTTTTACTAGGGGGCGGGGGTGTGTACTGGGCGGGACAAGGCTGATCGAGAAAGAGAAACTGTTCTTTCTCGATCAGCTCGTCCTCGAGCTGACAGGGAAGTGACAGACAGCACAGCTACTGCAGCTGTGCTGTCTGTCACTGTTTGCCGCCGATCGCCGGGAAACAGCCGCTAAGGACCGGCTGTGACTCGGCGACTCACATCTGCGGCGGTGATCGGCGGGACAGATGCGGCGGCGCGCCTTGCGTGCACCCCCTATTTGTTTACAAAACACACGTTTTAAAACGTGGTTTTGCCTGCGAGTGCCGCCCTGCCGCCGTATATCTACAGTGGCTGGGCGGCATGCGGTTAAAGGGCCGGGAGGCGTCGGCGTGAAGGGGTTAAGTCAGAAGCTGTAGTTTTTGTACCTGCTGACTTTTAATAAACACAAAAACGGCTGGAACTCCGCTTTAAGAAGTGCCAACGTTTTGCCTGTTACAGGGGTGCTCAACCTATTGAAGAGCGGGGGCCACGTAAGCGATTTGATAACCAGTCGGGGGCCACAATGAAATGCTAATTTTGAATTTAATTTTGAATAGCATAGTGAACATTTTCCTCCTGCAGGAGAGAGAGGAGGAGAAGGTGGTTTTCGGCGGTTGCAGGAGGAAAATGGAGAGGATTGGTTCATGTATGTTTCCCTTCCTCCAAGTGTAAAACAGAATGTGACAGGGAGGCTACACGGGCCCCCTGGAGCTTGGGGCACCATTGCGACCCCTGCTACTACAACAGTACTTGGGGAGTGTGGTAGAAACTGTCCCCCAAACTGCAAATGTAAGTGAGCCCTTACTGTCCTGAGCCCCCTATAAGATACAATTTTTTTTTTTTTTTTGCTTCTCTCTTCTTATTTCTATTGTGTTGGAACATATCTGCGTGCTCAGCAACATCATTTGACTTTGTGTTTTACAGGGAACGATCTTCTCACAGACGGCTGCAGACAATTACGAGATGGGGGTTTCTGTGTTTCAAAACTATATCACTAATATTCCAGCCAAGAGACTTGGACTGCCCGAAGAGGTATTCCTCCACAACAATAGACTCATGGGGGGGGGGGGGATTTACTCAAACTGGAGCACTCAGAATCTGGTGCAGCTGTCCAGGTTTTATTGTCAAAGCTTCATTGAACGAGCTGAAGTTAGAATCTGATTGGCTCCCATGCACAGCTGCACCAGATTCTGAGTGCTTATGTTTTAGTAAATCTCCCCCATGTCCTGCTTGAGCTTCACCAGCGTTTGTGTTGTCTTAGGCCCTTTCACACTGGGGTGTCTTGAACAACAGGTAGAATTACCACGATTTCAAAACGTTCTGCTAAAATTACAAATCGCAGAACCGTGTGTTCAGGTGACATTCATTTTAACACCCCCCCCCCCCCCCCCATTGACTTCTCCATCACATCCAACAATGCCACCATCAAACCCGCCCCGCAGGCCAGAGTACTGGGTGTCATTCTGGACTCCAACCTATCCTTCCAGCCCCAAGTCCAATCTTTAACAAACTCATGCAGACTCCACCTCCGCAACATCGCCAAAATCCGCACGTTCCTAACCCCAGAAACCACTAAACAGCTCATCCACTCCCTCATCATATCACGACTCGACTACTGCAACTCCCTCCTCACTGGCCTCCCTCACCACAGGCTATCCCCGCTTCAGTCCATCCTGAATACGGCTGCCAGACTCATTCACCTTTCCAACCGCTCCATCTCCGCCACCCCCCTCTGCCAATCCCTCCACTGGCTTCCGATTGCCCAACGGATCAAATTCAAAATCCTAACACTGACGTGCAAAGCTGTCCACCATACTGCCCCGAACTACATCACTGACCTAATATCCAAGTACCACCCAACACGCACACTCCACTCCTCACAAGACCTCCTTCTCTCTAGTTCCCTGGTCTCCTCCTCCTCCTCCCATGCCCGCCTCCAGGACTTCTCCAGGGTGTCACCCATCCTCTGGAACTCCCTGCCCCAACCCATCAGATTATCACCTACTCTCCTCCTTTAGGCGCACGCTGAAAACCCATCTCTTCAGGGAAGCCTACCCCACCCCCCTGCTAACTTGCCGACCTCCTCCACTCTTCCTACCACTCCATCCCCCACAGCTATCTCCTCCTGTGCCACCATCCCCTCCCTCCTAGATTGTAAGCTCCAAAGAGCAGGGCCCTCAATCCCCTCATGTTTTGCATTGTATTGGTATTGTTCTGTCACATGTTCTGTCCCCCTTTGTAATGTACAGCGCTGAGCGAACTATTGGCGCTTTATAAATACTGTATAATAATAATCTTAAGGACCGCCCTGTAGCAGAGGGCGGCACCTGTGCGCAGAATCATGTATATATACATTTTGCATCTCCAGGTAGGGGGCACGGGCGCCCTACCTGTGCCGCCATTTGCGGCCGCGGATGTCAATCACCGGGTCCCAGCCGGTAATTACCCGCCAGCACCCGATGATTACCGAGCATCTCCGACGAGGAGGAATATTGTTTTGTTTACAATGGATGAAATGGTGCCCAGGGGCTGTATAAAGGCAAGAAAAAGGCCACTTTTGGCCCACGGGCCTCCGTTTGGAGACCAATGCTCTAGACCAGGGGTGTCAAACTAGCGGCCCTCCAGCTGTTGCAAAACTACAAGTCCCATCATTCCTCTGCCTTTGGGAGTCATGCTTGTAACTGTCAATCTTGCAATGCCTCCTGGGACTTGTAGTTTGGCAACAGCTGGAAGACCACTGGTTTGACACCCGTGCTATAGAGAGAGAGTTACTCTACCAACATGTGAAATTTGAATGACTTATGTAGGTTAATAAAAAGGTTTTGGCCACTTCTGCATTACCTTCAGTACAGCTTTAGTATATTGTGTCATTACATGTATTTCTATGTCTGTATATACCAGAGCACACCAGTGCTGGGTAACATTCCATAGCCTGTATCACCAATATCACACTTTTTGATTGATAGATCTCACCAATGGTCTGCTTCCTCCTCTCACCTGCTGCTTCCTTCATCACCGGAGAGACTGTGAAGGTGGATGCCGGGCAAAGCATATACGGCTCTCACTGGAAAGTACCAGGTATCGGAATCCTGCTGTACCATCACTCATTTTATTAAAGTAGAATTCCAGCTTAAAACTAAAGTCTTAAAAATGTCCCCTCCCCACTCCTAACACCTACGCTAACTCACCTGTTTAAAAAAACATGGTAACCTGTTTTCAGCTGACTCCGGTCTGGTCACATGATCTTCTGTGTTAGCCAGCAGCTGCAGGGGAGAAGAGAGCGCTGGCAACAGCTGGGAATTCCAAACATAAGCTCCCATGTCCCAATCATTGTCGGCGCTCTTTCCTCTCCCCTGCAGCAGCCGCTGGCTGGCACAGGACATCCCTGCACAAGGAGAGAGAGTAGCAGTGAGCTGTCTTTATTACAGGAAGTCTCACACTGGATGACTGCACAGATCTGGAAGAATCACACAAAGCTCACCGAGATTCAAGAAGAATACACATGAGGAATGGATATAGATATTTACTTATCCAGAGTTCAGCTTTTGCATTTTTTTTTTGGCTTGTGGGAGGGAGGTGGAACATGTAGATAAGTGACCCCACTGAGCTATGTTCATGTGTTGTTCTAGATCAGTGGTTCTCATGGTTGTGAGACCATGGCCCAGTAAAATTCTTCTAAAATCTACCGTGTCCCAACAATGAAAAAAAGTTTCTATTCACACAACAAAAGTATGGGAATACAGAGTTTGTATTGAAATGCTGGAAGGCTCTGCAGGGGGCTGGGTGTCACTGGGGGGATGGGGATTCTGGAGAGGGTTGGGGACACGGCAGCAGACTTGCTAACCCTGTAATGGATGAGGTTTCTAGAGGGAGCTGGGGATAAGTGTTGGGGTCCCTGGAGGGGGCTGGGGGCTTTGTAGGAGCACTGTGTTCTTCTCTTGAGCCTGTGTGAGACTGGAGGGTACTGTAGGGGTTGGAGGTCACTAACAGGTTGGGGGGCAGTACGGGATACTATTGCAAGTTGGGGGTACTATGGGGACTGAAGGCTCTGCAGTAGGTTGGAGGGGGCACTGCAGGTGGTTGGTTGGCACTGTGAATATTGGAGAAAACTGGGGATGTTAGAGGATCTGCAGCAGACTTGGTGTCCCTGTATGGGATGAGATTTCTGGAGGGGCCTAGGGAAAACTGGAGGATGGGGTCCTTAGAGGGGGCGGAGGGTCTCTCTAGAAGGCTGGGGAGTTGCGGGGGTTCTCTCTTGGAGCCTGTAGGGTGCACCAGGGGCTGGGAGCACTTTGTGAGGTTGGGGGGGGAGGGGTGGGGGCAGTGTGGGACATTGTTGGAAGTTGGGGGCACTATGGAGGGCAGAAGGCTCTGCGGTATGCTGGGGAGGCATATTGTGGGAGGTTAGGGGATCAGCAGAAGACTTGCTGTCCCTGTACGGGATGAGATTTCTGGAGGGACCTGGGGAAAACTGGGGGGATGGGGTCCTTAGAGGGTGGTGGTGGGGGTCTCTCCAGGAGTCTGGAGGTCTCTCGGAGAGTCTATAGGGTACACCAGGGACTGGGGAGCACTGTGTGAGGTTCGGGGTGGGCAATGTGGGACATTGTTGAAAGTTGGAAGCTCTATGAAGGGTGGGAGGCTCTGCAGTAGGCTGGGCCGTCATTGCACGGTGCTGGGTGGCACTGGAGGGGTCTGGGAAACCGTCCAGGAGGCTGGGAAGTTGCAGCAGGGGCTGTAGTAGTGCAAAGCCTGGGGGCCTCCCTGGGAGCCTGGAAGGTATAGCAGGGGCTGGGGAGCACTGTGGGAGGTTGGGAGGAGGGTGTGGGACATTGTTGAAAGTTAGGGGCATTATGGGGGCTAGAGGTTCTGCAGTAGGCTCGGAAGGCATATTGTGGGAAGCTGGAGGTTTTACAGCAGACTTGGTGGCCCTTCAGTGGATGAGATTTCTGGAGGGGACTTGGGAAAACTGTGGGGGATGGGGTCCTTAGAGGGGTCTGGGGGTCTCTACAGGAGGCTGGGAACTTTGCAGAGGCATTGTGGGAGACTGTAGGGTACTGCAAGGGCTCTGCAGGTGGCTGGGTAGTCACTGCAGATGGCTGGATGCACTGTGGGACATTGGAAAGAACAGTGGGAGGTTAGGGAATCTTGGTGTCCCTGAAGGGGATGAGATTTCTAGAGGGGGCCTGGAAAAACTGGGGAATGGGGTCCTTTGAGGGGGTTGGGGGTCCGTCCGGGAGGCTGGGGAGTTGCAGCAGGGGCTGAGGTGGTGCAGAGCCTATGTGTCTCTCTGGAAGTCTGGAAGGTGCAACAAGGGCTGGGGAGCACTGTGGGAGGTTGGGGGTCACCGTGGGACATTGCTGAAACTTGGAGGCTCTATAGGGGGGCTGAAAGCTGCAGTAGGTTGGGGATGCATTTGTGAGGTTGGAGGGAACAGTGGGAGGCTAGGGGATCTGAAGCAGACTTGGTGGCCCTGTAGTAAATGCAGTTTCTGAAGGCTTTGGGGAAACTGTGGGATGGGGTCCTTGGAGGGAACTGGGGACTTTTGCAGAGGCCTATTGTAGAGTACTGGAGGGTACTGCAAGGGCTCTGCAGTAGGGTGGGCAGATACTGCAGGGGGCTAGGTGGCACTTGAAGTTTTTGAGAGCACTGTGTTCCATTGTGGAAGGGTGGGGGTGCACTATGGAGATCGGAAGCACTGTGGGGGGTTTAGGGGATCTGCAGCTGGCTGGAGGCCCGTTTGAAGGGAGGTCATGGCTTGGCAGGAGGCCACAGCCCCCTGGTTGAGTATCATGTTCTGTTGAAAATGTCAGCAATGAATAATATATACACTGCTCAAATAATTAAAAGAACACGGTTTAATCAGAGTCTAGCATCAAGTCAATGACACTCCTGGGATATTGATCTGGTCAGGTAAGTAGCAGAGGGGGTTGTTAATCAGTTTCAGCTGCTTTGGTGTTAATGAAATTAACAACAGGTGCACTAGATGGGTGACAATGAGACGACCCCCAAAACAGGAATGGTTTTTTTACAGGTGGAGACCACTGACATTTTTCCCTACTCATAATGCCCTGGTCCAGATGTGGGAGGAAATCTCCCAGGACACCATCCGTGGTCTCATTAGGAGCCCCCCCCCCCCCCCCGTTGTTGTCAGCCATGCATACAAGCACGTGGGGGCCATACAGACTACTGAGGACCATTCTGAGTTGCTGCAATGACATTTCAGCAAAATGGACTCGCCTGCTGCATCATTTTTTCACTTTGCTTTTCGGGGTGTCTTTGAATTCAGTCCTCTGTAGGTCAATCATTTTCATTTCCATCAAACGATGGGGCGTCATTACATTTCTAACACATTACCCCGTCCATGTCAGTATAGAGATCCAGCAGGAGATGGTTCCCCATTGAGATCTGATGGGTTTTCATAGTGTTCCTTTAATTTTCGTTGAGCAGTGCACATGGTATACGGCTTTGGCTGTGTTGTGGATAACTATTGGCTGAATAATAAAGACATGTCCCTTTTTTTTTTTGTCCCCATCCTCAGATCACAACAGATGGCCGGCGGCACCAGAAGGAGAAAATGCCGAAACTTTGAAGAAACTTGTTCCCAATGTTCCTCCTTCGAAGCTGTGATAACTGCTCACCTGGCATAATTGCCAGACAATGTACTATTAGTATCTAATTCATGTGTTAATTGCATTTAAATCAAAAGGATGATTTGGAAATACTTCATTACAGGGTGTTCTCATCCTAGATGTACCTGATGTGGCACTCATTTAGCCTCGGTTCCCACAAGTGCGGGTGGAAGCCGCTGCTGGACCCGCACTTTGTCCCGCACTTTGTCCCGCAGCTGCATCCACCCGCATACAAAACATGGGACCTACGGGCGGGTGCCATTAACCTTAATGGCAAGCCGCCCACACTGGAAACCGCACTACAGGGGCTGCGATTTCTGGAAACTTGCAGGGACTTTTTCCCCTGTGTCTTTCGAGGCACAGCAGCCCATTCAAATGAATAGGTTGCCATGCTGCGCTGTAGCCTGCAAAACCGTACTAGTGTGAACTGAGCCTTCGAGAGCAGAAAGGACAAACTTTTCTTTTCCCTTTTTTTTTCCGCTTTGTTTTTTTTTTTCCCCTTCTCTCAGACAACAATACAAAGCTGGCAATGGTTCTAGCTTCCCCCTGCTCTTCTAAAGAAAAAAAAAATTCTGGCACGTCCTGTCAATGAAAACTGTTGCCATCAGGAATGGAAACGGGGTTCTTATCCGACCCCAAAAAAAAAACAAAACATTTCTGGCAGGACTTTTAAAACCTGAACTCAGGCACAAATCTAAATACAGATGAATTATATACAAAGTAGCCTACCTGCCAAAGGATTTGTATTCCTTGTCCATCTAGTCTTGAGATTCACACAGCTCTGCCACATAGCACATCCTGACTGGCATGAGAGGGGTCAGGGTGTCTCATCTTTCTGCTGCAGTATCACTTTCATCTACAGCTCGTCTCCCCCTCCTCCTCTCCACCTGGACAGTGAAAGGAGAAGCAGCAGACCAATTTGGGCAGCTAAGTGGTTAGCACTTCCACCTGGCAGTACTAGGGTTGTTGGTTTGAATCCCAACCACGGCACCACCTGCCTGGAGTTTGCATGTTGTCCCTGTGCCTGTGTGGGTTTCCTCCTACACGCCCCAAAGACATGCTGGTAGGTAAATTGGCTCCTGTCCTAAATTGTCCCTGGTATGTGTATGTATGAATGTGAGTTGGGACCTTAGATTGTACACCCCCTTGAGGGCAGGGACTGATGCAAGTGTACAATACATGTAAAGCGCTGCGTACATTGACCGCTTTATAAAAGTAACATAATGAAAATGAGCTAATCGCACTGCTCTCTCTCTTCCTATCAGCATGCATCTATGACGCATCTGATTGGTTCCTGGTGCTGCTTCTGCCTGTACCAGTTTAGTGATCGCAAAAGGCCGATACCAAGTCCGATTGGGTCGCTTGCATTTAAATAGCATAGCATACAGTGAAGATTCTATTCATCATTACAGAGCTGCATTCATTTGAACCTTTTATATCCACTTGGTGTTCAAATTTAGGGCAGCCAGAAATGACGTGGTAAAGGATTCGGAGGAGATATTATCCAGTTCATTGCTTGGATCACTTCGGGGAATTGACAGTCTAAGGCAGGAATATGAAAAATGATTATATCTGCTTATCAGAACAATGAATGTAAACCTCAGAATTGTCGAATGTGATCATTCTTGATGAACAATGCTTTACATAAAGAGACTCCCTCCACCCCCCCCTGGCAGCCAATTGGTAACTTGTACTGTGCTGTTCTGATTGGTTGTTGGGTTACATGTAACACAGACAGTTTTACTTGCCTCTTGTTTAGAAGATTCCAAATACTGTACAGCTACCTTCCACCATGCATATTACTCCAATTATTTACCCCTGTGTAACACATTAGGCTCCGTGCACATTGGCGGTTTTTTTTAACCTCTTCATGCCGGCCGCACACAAATGCGTCTTGGCCTAGACGTCTGGCCCTAGACGCGAGCGGCCGCACATTTGCGTTCAATTATAAAAAAAATATGTGCTGAGAGCGCTCGCCCTGCGCACTCCCAGCACACATGTCCGGTACTCACGGAAAGGTCCCGGTATTCTCTTTCGATTGGGACCTTTCCCGATCGTGTGACCACCATGACGTCGCGTCATGGCGGTCACATGATCCCTAAACCCCGTCCCGCCTCCCGGCTTCTGAAACTCCTAAAGGGCCGGGAGGCGCCGGCGTGAAGGGGTTAAGCTCCTAGAAGCTAAATGGTGTTCACCTCTGTGTCCATGCACACTACTTTAGGCTATTAGTGTTTTTTGAGCTTCTGCGTCTAGGAGCAAAAAAAAAAATTTTTTTTTGTAGAGTTTTTTGGAGCGTTTTTTCCAGCAGAAAACAAAGCTAAAAGCTCCTAATTGCTGCTAAACACTACTAACATGCCCATAACAGGTTTTTCTTGCTTTCTTCTACATGTACTAGGGTTGTTAGTTCGAATCCCAACCACAGCACCACCTGCCTGGAGTTTGCATGTTCTCCCTGTGCCTGTGTGGGTTTCCTCCCACACTCCAAAGACATGCTGGTAGGTGAATTGGCTCCTGTTTAAATTGTCCCTAGTATGTGTGTATGTATGAATGTGAGTTAGGGACCTTAGATTGTACGCCCCTTGAGGGTTAGGGACCTTAGATTGTACACTCCTCGGGGGCGGGACTGATGTGAATGTACAAGTATGTAAAGCACTGCGTAAACTGATGGCGCTATATAAGTACCTGAAATGTAATGTAAAAATGCTAATAAAACGCTAACGCTACTAAAAACCGCTAGTGTGCATGGAGACTTGGAGTTCTAACTTTTTCTATATAACCGTTAATATCAATAGATTAAATTATTGTGTCAGAAATGTAACAATAAAGCTTTATTTTAAGTATATTTTGTCTCTGTTTTTACTAAACCCCCAACAGTACAATCAGTCTGTATATACAATAAAGCATGCTTGTTATACTCCCTGTGGAGCCTAAGGGGTTAATCCTCTGCCCTGTGTAAAAACGCTGTTTGATCCTGTCTTCTCTGAGCCTTTTCTTCTTCCAGTGTCCCTCTCTTATCTGCTGAAAAGACATATCGTGTGAAGTCACTCTGCACATGCTCAGTTTGGTGTTTATTGCTAGAGAGGGTTTTTTTTTTTTTTCCCTTGGGAGAGAGCATGTGATCAGCACAGGGCCAATTAGCACTGTCCGGACAGAGGTCGGGTTCTGCATCCTCCTAGAGAACACTCCTACAGGCTTTAACCAGTGCTCGGCTGGACACTGATAGAAGTCACAAGAGTGCTATATACTGTTAATGAGAAAAGGTATTTAGTAGTTTATTTACTAAAATAATTGCATTTCCATGTTTGTGTACTGTGGGAGAGCAGATATAGTGAATGCAAGGTCCGGGGAGAGCGGATATAGTGAATGCAGGGTCCGGGGAGAGCGGATATAGTGAATGCAGGGTCCGGGGAGAGCGGATATAGTGAATGCAAGGTCCGGGGAAGCGGATATAGTGAATGCAAGGTCCGGAGACCGGATATAGTGAATGCGGGGTCCGGGGAGACCGGATATAGTGAATGCAAGGTCCGGGGAAAGCGGATATAGTGAATGCAAGGTCCGGGGAAAGACGGATATAGTGAATGCGGGGTCCGGGGAAAGCGGATATAGTGAATGCGGGTCCGGGGAGAGCGGATATAGTGAATGCAGGGTCTGGGGAAAGCGGATATAGTGAATGCGGGGTCTGGGTAACCGGATATAGTGAAGTGCGGGGTCCGGGGAGAGCGGATATAGTGAATGCGGGGTCCCGGGGAGAGCGGATAAGTGAGTGCGGGGTCCGGGGAGATATAGTGAATGCAGGGTCCGGGTAGACCGGATATAGTGAATGCGGGGTCCGGGGAGACCGGATACCGTGAATGGGGGGTCCGGGAGACCGGATACCGTGAATGCGGGGTCCGGGGAGAGCGGATACAGTGAATGCGGGGTCCGGGGAGAGCGGATACCGTGAATGCGGGGTCCCGGGAGAGCGGGATACCGTGAATGCGGGGTCCGGGGAGAGCGGATACAGTGAATGCGGGGTCCGGTCGGGGAGAGCGGATACCGTGAATGCGGGGTCCGGGGGAGAGCGGATACAGTGAATGCGGGGTCCGGGGAGAGCGGATACAGTGAATGCGGGGTCCGGGGAGAGCGGATACAGTGAATGCAGGATCCAGGTTTAGTAACACTTTAACCCCTTCTTACCCTTTAAAGAGTTCTGAATGCCCAGGGGGTAGGTAAGAATTGGTGATCGTGTGACCACTGATTGGCCGTCACAGCGGTCACATGATGATCCGCCGGCTACTGATCATTAGCCTGGACCAGGAATTGTCTTTGACAGGTTAGTCACTGTGCTGGGAATGTGCAGTGAGCGCGTTGTCAGCACAGAAACATTGGCCACCCAGTGACGCAAATGTGTGGCTAATAATACCTGCCCGTTTGCCTATGCACATGTTACATTGGCAACAACAGGTTTATTGTGTATCAGTGTAAGGGCTTATTCACATGGGTGCCTGGGGGGGTGTAACAGCAGGCATTTGAGGCACGGTTTTACCACCCACCTGAATAAAGCAATGCAGCTGCTCAGGGCTGTACCCATGCCATGGCCTCAATGTTTTTGCTTCACGTCTGCAAATGTTAATTGGTGTGTCACGTTTTGCAGGCGATACCTCTGCCGAACATGAAGAGAATTGGGCCAGGCTGCAACTGCAGTGGTAAAGAGCCTACATGACCCGACCATTTTACTATTAATATATTTGAAGAATTTTTTGGGGTTGGTCCTGCTATCTTTTGCAATCTGTCGTTCGTTTTCAATTTTTTGCACCATTATTTCCTTTTTGAATATTTTGTGATTTATAATTAAACGATGATAGCGCTCCTTCATTTTTATATGTAATAAAAGCGCTTTTCTTATTATCTATAGCCTTTTTAACCACTTCCCGTCCAGCCCATGTATATAAACGACCAGACGGGAGCAGTGCAGGAGCGGGTGGCTGTTTATAATCCCTTCCCTGCTCCCGTTATACG